AAACTGCGCGCACGTCTAATAGAAACCGCAACACCCGTACCGCGACCCTGTCGCGAGTCTAAACAACCGGAGCGGTATCTCAGTCTCCATACCACGAACGATTAGAGAAGCTTTACGTGGATCCCATAGGGAACAGGGGAAACAGGCCCTTGAAATAGAGTACGACGCATAGAAAATGGAGCGTGGAGATTAACGCCAGTACCCCGCCTGGTCGAAACGTTTTGTCATGACATTGGGTGGTTGTGTTGAAATACAAGGGTTGCTGTCGAGCGGTTCAAAGCACGAATCGTTTCGCAAGTTACAGACAACGACAGATTTAGGCGACATCACTGACTGCTATCTTTCTAGTAAATCATTGAACGGAAAAAGCGGCATCCGTTCAATTAAAGATTTTGATTGGATGAAAAATTATGTTTCAGAGGATAAAACCAATAGAAACCAGTTGTTCTGCAAAAAATAGTTATTTTTTAAATGCTAATATCAGGATGCTGAGGAATTGCCTTATCAAAGCTACGAATTACTGTCTCCTCAGCAATGTCATCCCAAGTAGCAATTGTTGCGCGAATTGCACAGATGTGCTTTTGTTTAGCCGTGCCCCCAGTAATACCAGACCAGTTGGTCCGCATTTTGGCTTTTAGGGGTCCATAACCCCAACATCCAGTGGCTGGCACGCAGCGGTTCTATTTGGAGGAAGTGGGATCACCATGGCGTTAGCTTCTTCAGCTACGATCCGCTTTTCGGCCTCGGACGCATGCACTCAAAGTTGTCGAGAAGAAGGAGGCAAACTCAGCGCGAGTTTGCTCGAGGTCTTCCGTGCTCTTCTTTGCCGTTTGGGGCTACTGAGATGTAAACCCATGGCTAAAAAAATACAAAATACTGTTAATTTAGAAATTTATTTGATTAAAATTTAAAAATACAATTTACCGGGTAGCGAGACGTTCGCCCACACGTTGCAGCGCGGGTAGTCTGCTCCGCTTGTCGACCATGTCGTTGGTTACCCAATCAGGCTCAATTTTCCACATGTACTCCATAATTCCTCGCGTAGTAAGAGCCTAATGACACGAAGGCCCGATAAATTTAGCAAAATATAATAAAATTTACAAACGTTGCTACTTACCAACTCAGCACGATGCTTGACCTTCATGAAGGTGACGATGACAGCGACGTCAGGAAATAATTCCTTACGTCCCTTTCTCTTCATCGTCTTGGAGGTGGCGTGGCCAGTGAAGCTGAGCAGTTTGTCAGCCTGTTGACACCACCCGTGGGCGGTGCCGCGAACGCACTGCAGCTCCCGGGCCACCTCCTCCACTCCGACCTCCTGTATCCGCCGGACAGCGTCCCGCTTCTTGCGGACACTGTAACTTCGCTGTTTTTTCTTTTTCTTCTTGGGGGGAGAGTTGTCCATTTTTTGCAGAATGAAAGTGAGCATGTAATACAAAGATTTAGGTGTTGTGTGGTGCAGTTTTACCATAACCATTCAATTGTAATGAATACATGATTGGGTACATATTTCAAAATATTTGGATTTGATTGGATAAAAGTGACACTGTGTTATTATGGAAGCGGCTACGTAATGCCGGCTTTTAGGTTGCCAGTTTTATCTGTCGTTGTCTGTAATCACAGGAGTTTGGAGTTGACTGTGACAAAGTATACGCATTGGTATCAAGGTT